AAAAAAAAAAACCTTCTCAAAATGATAGTTTGAGATAAAAAGTCATCGAACAAAACTCTACTCCAAAATTTCTGAGTAGCTTGAAAACGAAGAATACAGCTTACGAAATGCATCAATTTGAGAATTAAGCCAGGCAAGGAGGGCGATAGCATGATTTTGATGGGCAACGAGAGCTCCATCCATCACTTTTACATCTAAAGGACCTGCTTTCTCTGTTCTTCGGTTCATATCCCGAAGTGTCCGTCGCTGAAAAGGAAGTCGTAGCTTAGGAGAAGCAAAGCAAACGCTGAATCATAATCTGAGAATACCTGAATGTCAGTTTTCACCCTTTCGCAGTCCTGTTTCGGTCCAACTTTTACTGCACTTCGACCTTCACGATCCACAATTGTGGCTATTAACATAGCTTGATCTTTAGTGCAATTTATAAACATTTCCAGGGCTCGGATGACCTTGAAGCAGTTGATTTTCGATTTGTTTAGCAACATGTCATAAATAAACGTAATATAAGAAGGAACCACTTCCTTTTCACTGCGTATACTACGTTTCAAAATTAGACTCTCAAAAGCTATCATAACCATGTTGGCGATTTTGCACAGATGAGTGTATTGCATAATCTCCTTTTCGCAGAAATTGAGTAATGGGATTATTAATGTGATAGAAGAACACACATGACCTTAATTGAACAAAATCGCAATGTTTTTTTTTACAAGAAGACGGTGAAAGTCATTATGAAGAAGAGCTTTCTGTAATACCGTAAGATTGACACTCATACTACCAACTTTCACTGGCTATACAGCCAGAGGAAAAATGAATAACGCCTGCAAGAAAACGAGAAGCGCATACTTTCCCCAATTCTAGACCCATCTTTCTAAAACTCGTCTTCAAGAAGATTATGTGTTGCTAAATAAGTCATCTGTCCTTGTTAAATAAGACTACCAAGGGCTCTTCAAATATATTCACTGTTCCTTATCTGGACCAATTTCCTCTGCCCCAAGGAGTGGAGGTTCAGAATGGGCTCAGGTACCGAGATTGCTTTTCAACAACTTTCAAGACAAGTTGCACTCAGACAAATTACACTTGCGCATCTTCACCTTCGACACGCAAAGATGAAAACCAATTAATTTGTTCCTCTTCCTTCTTGTACTAGTAGCTTTCATTATCTTTTTTGATTGAAGACACTTCCTTTGACTCTTTAAGTGTGCCGCATGGTGCGTTTTTCGGTTCTCATGAGGGCAAATCTTTACACTCGTAGCAATATTACGCGGTTCTCATATTGTAATTGTGCACACTTCCAAAAAAATGCGCAAGCTATCTACTGTTGAGATTGCGCCACTCTACCGCTTTCCCGGCTAATCCGCTCTTTCAGATTACTATACAACCCTTACTTCACTCCCTTGACATTTTTTGACAGTTACAATCTATGCTTTTCATGAAACTTGGACAATAGACATATTTACCGTTTCATAGGTATGCGTTTCATCATTGTACAAAACGGTGACATAAGGTGCAACACTAGTCACTTCAAGTTTTTCTGCTGGTGGTTGCCTAAAACAGCCAATCGCAAATTTTTAAAGCAAAATTCCTCTATAAAAGTAGCGAATAGCAGAATAGAAGTCCCCTTACACGGTCAAATTTAAGGGCAGCATATCGGTTTTATCCCAGCATATCAACTTCGTAGAATACTGAAGAATAAGACAGGTCAATCCACGAAGTCGAAT